AAGAGCTGTTGCAGTGTTGGGTATAGAGAAGCAGGGGTGTGAGCTGAACAGTTAGACTTAAGAAGCAAACCTTACAGAAGGTTTCTACAAAAATGTTCAGCTTGCACAGGTGTGTTGATTAGGCGTGTGAAGACATGGTCCTTGTTGAGGTGTGCATGCAGGTAGAGACTTCTGTGTAGGTGGGCTTACAGTAGAACAACTGCACTTCTGTTGTTGTAGCACGTGTGGCTCATAAGAGACATTTTCAATATGCTTGTACGAAAAAGGTGTTTGCTGACACGGCGTATCTATACTGGGTGTAGATTTCTAATCCAGTGTCTTACTTGAGGTGTGATCCATGAAAGAGTATGCATGTGAGTTCTTTGCAGAATACAGTGTACAACTAATTACTGCAAGTGGGAAATGTCAACAAAAAATTAAAACTGATTATTGGCAGAATACTGTTAAATACACAAAATTAAGCACAAGAGTCTCTTCTCCATCCTCCTCCCTCCTTCCCCCCCCCCCCCCAAAGTACTATAAATAACCAATATAATAGAAGTATTTCCTGGTCAGCTATAAATATTCCTAACTGTGGAGTATCAGTACAGAAGATAGTTTGGATTATAACCACAGAAATTTCATTACTTGCATATGTAGGGAATGCACTGAAGGAGTATTGGCCTACTTACTTAAATTCCACCTGTCTCTTGCACTTCACTCCACAGACATGAATTACCCATATAAAACCACATTAACATTTTACATTTAAATACTTTAACCATCTTAAAACTTCTGCAAGATAATTGGTTCATCTTGGTAGCACAAAACTTCTATAAAGCTGATAGCTTATATTTAATGGAAGGAATTAATCCAGGTATGAGATGCTGTCTAATTGGATGGTTCTGTTCTGTTGTGGAAATTAAGATTTCATGTTTTTAAACTTCTAATATTTTTATTCAAGACTGGGGTGGCTGTGGTTTCAAATAATAATCATTGTAGTAAAGTTTTGCTTGGCTAACTTTCTCCTTAGTAGTAGACTAAAGTGCGTTTCATTTTGTTGATCACTAACACAAATAGATGTCTTCTGGTGTTTTCACTAAAAATCTTTTTTCTATCTGTGTGTTCGAGCACACAGTAAGGAGTTAAATTTGTCGTGCAAGATAGATTTCTGATGGGGCATGTTTGTGGAAATTGTTGGCGTGTATTTCAGTTATAGTTAACACTTGCAATATTCTGGGAGCTAGAATAAATGAACAGATTTGTTTGCATACTGCATGATTTAGATTGTGAATGCTGGAACTTGTCTAGATGTATTTGTTGCACATAAGGAACTAATTTATTATTTTGTAATGCAAACATGTCATTGGAGAACTGACCTGATGGAAATAATGACCGATTGCATTCCTAGAATTATCCTAAGCATAACTGTTGGCCTTCAGAAGACCTCTAGGTTATAGCACTGCCAGTATGGACTTTAGTTAGTCTGTGGCACGTCTGTTGGCACCATTTCCTTGTAGGTATACTCCTTATTGTCTTTTTTACCGAAACTACTAGTAGAGTATTCTTATTAGAACAATTTTAGTAATGTCATCTGATGCTGTGCATAACTAGTTCACGTTAACACTTCTAGTATTCTTTTTTTAAACTTAGTTGTGAGTGGATAGACACCTATTAAAGAGTAACTTAAATGGTGTCTTCTGTGGGTTTATGAAATATGTTACTTCATCACTGTGGCAGATGTCAGATTTTAAAATATTTTAGACATTTTTTAATATAAATATGTAGCTGCTGTTTTTAATCTAACAGTTGAAAGCTATAATTTCAGTAGAATTGGGAAAATATTGAAAAGCTGTATAGAAATGATTTTCCTATATATGTTCTGCAATTTTTTACTTACAATAATTATTTTTTGCAGTTGCCTTTTTTCTTGTTTGTCAGACTAAGTTGTTGTAACAAGTACAGTTAATATTCATGGAAACTTCCTTGAATTTATTAATACTTGGTTGTTACTGAATTGTTTGGATATCTGCTATTTTCCTTGGCAGCTAGTCTTGGGGCAATCACTGTTAGTTTTGCTGCCTGATCGATGTTTGTTGTATCTCATTCTCTTGGTGTGTATTGTTTAGGTTCTGTCAGAGGCAGTCTGAACTGAACTATGAGGTTTTTAACTGTCCCTGTCAGCTGAGGCTGTTGCACTTCACTTAACTCTCGTCTGCTTTTGTGTCTTCTGTTTAAGTGTTTAAAGTAACAGGCACGTATGTAGAACACACAGCAGAAACGGTTCAGAATGACCGTTTGGGGGTGCTGGTGTGTGCTGTGAGGTATAGTCTTTATTGCCACCTTTAAGGTTCCCTGAGTGTTAATAATGTGGGTGACTGCTGCAGGACTGGGCATTCCATAGCAGTTCAGCACTGCTAAACTATTGAGTTTCAAAAAAACCCAAACAACCCACCTCTGAAAAACGAAGGCAAAAAACCTGATAGTTTGGTAAATCAAAAAAGAAACTGTGGTTTATGCTGGCAGGTTATGTCCAATAAAAAAAATACTGTTTCAAGTATTACTTTGATCTAAAAAAAAAATAAAAAAATTCCTAAATAAAATCACCCTCCTTGTTTTTAAACAAACTTACTGTGTTGATACGATGTTACTCAAACTGTTGAGGTTGTATGCTAGTATATCCCATTCTTCAAACTTGTAACAGTAGGCACATAACTACAGCAGAGTTAAAAATGATGCTTTAGTCTTATTTGTGAAAGCTTGTCTTTTGTGGGTTTCTCAAACTGTAGCAAGGGTAGTATTTTTGTGGTTTTAATTTGAGTGGCTTCCCCTATGCCTGAAACCATTGTATATTTTGCTAATATAAGACTTTTCCATAAAACTTGCATACATGCATGTAGTGCCTTATTCATATAATGCTTAGCAGTTAAAAATATTAAACTGATAATATAAATAAAATACCTTTCTTATGTCCTTGGACTGCATTTCATAATCTTGTTGAATCAGGTTTCCCATGGTAACATCTGTATCATACTCATAAAACTGGAGTGATTCTTGCTGTATAGGTGGTGCTGACTTCGTCAAAGGTACAAACACAAACAAAAAAAAAGTGGTCTGCAAAGTCTTCATTCTTGCGTGGAACAATGTATCTGGCTTTCACTAAGCTGGTGAAGTCTGCTGGTGTGTTGGCTATGGAGAATACTTTCAGTGTGACTGGAAATGAAAATGCAATCCGTCAAAACAATATTTAAAGCCTAGAGGACTAGTTGGCAGGGGTTTCTAACGCATAAGGAACATGGAACAACTTTTAACTCTTTATATCCTTTAATTAGACTCTAGCATTGTAAAATCTGTTCTTAACATGAAAAGAAACTGGGAATTTTTAGAAAACATTTTCCAACTAATAAGGAAAATGTTATCCTCACTTCATTACTTGTTTCCCACTGTGTTATTTTGGTAATAGTAAGAGGATTTTGTAAGCATTTTATGAAACATTTAGCATGTATGTAGCTGAACTAATTAAAATGAGAGAGGTTCAAATGCATTTTTCTTTGTTATCAAAATAATGAGTTTCAAACTTAAATGCTCTATTAGTAACAGTAATTTCTCATTGTCTTTGCATTTGAAAGTAAAGAAGAGAATATTGCACAGGTAGTACACTTTTTAGGCAGGGGGAGGAGGCTACAAACACGATCTTTAAAACATTTTAAACACACACTAAATACTTCTTAAAATAAATCTTTACACAGCATTTTTTCCTATTTACTCTAATTGTTTTATTTAAGCTTTAGGCTAGTATGCTTTTAGGGAAAAAAGTCCACCTACCGTTTTAGCAGATTCAAAGTTCTTCTGTGGTTGTCATAAAACCAGATATCCTTGTCTATATGTTAATGTAAAGTGGATTAAGAAAAGAGTAAAGTTATGAATTACGTACAAATGGTTGAAATGAATACTCTTTCAAAGTTTGACAGTCTTAAAAGTGCTTTCCATGGGGTAAAAAATGGTTTGCCAGTTTTTTTCTAGGGGAAGAGGTAATATCCTGGAGCAAGGGGGCTGTACTTTGAATTTCATTTGTAAATATTGAGTCTGTCTAGCTCATCCTACTTTTTGATATTACTTGTTAAAATTGTAGCCTTCTGCTTTGTGGTGATTTACTCTTTAGAATTCCTGAGGCTTTTTCTTTAAATCAAACATTAATTGTGCAAACTAGAGGTTTATAACAAGGCATGTGTTATCCATTTATTTAATGGTTTAGCTGAGAGACAAAGCAGCTGCCTTCTGACTGAAACAGGGGTAGAGCCAAAACATACGTATACCATATTAGTCACATTTTATGAGTAATAAAATGTTTCATTACAAGCAGTATATGTTTAGAGACATTTCGCCTAAGTATGAAATGGAAACTTTTCAGTCTGAAGAGTTATGGAAAAAAAAAAAATAGAATTGTGTGTGTTGAGATTTTCAGACAAGTAATTCTACAAGACAAGACTAAATGCTTCATTGAATGACTTGTTGGACAATGTATTGAAAAATTGGTTTCACAGTAAATACTTATTTTGAGTAAAGTTCTGTGTCAGTTCTGTAGATAACTTACTAAACATTGTCCAGGTGTAGAAATTTGATCTGAACTACGAGCAGCAGTTTTCTGGATCTCTAATGCATTTCTTCCTCCCCCATCCTTTGCCTTATTATGTATTTTTGGCAGTCAGTACAAATGGGAGCCAGATGACCAACTTGCAAGTTTACAAAGTAGCTTTTTTGAGTCTTTAAAAAATATGTAGCAATAAAATCTATTGGGAAGATATTCAGATTTACATTTCTATTTCATTTTCATTATTTTTTTTTCCCCTAGATAGCACTATTGGCTAAGTAACATTGGGGATAAACAGTGGACCTGTTTGTTCAAGTTTTCTTGTAAGTGCTGTCTTGTTTAGAAACCAGATGTCTGTAGTAAATCTGCAAGTTGTAGAGTGGCTACAGCCATTTGCTCTCTAAACTTTTTTCCAGTTTATAATCAGTTACCACTTTCTGGACTCAATATTTTATAAAAATGTTTTTAGTTTAGCTCCTATGCAGATTAAACTATGTCATGGTTTGGACTTGGAGCTTCCTCTAGGATAATGATTTTCCTGTAAGTGTATAACTGAGGGGTGGATTTGCTGAGGAAGGGACAAAAAAGTTGCAGAGTCAATACCATTTTACCATCCCTCATGGTTTCATGCATGTTTCAGAAGTAATCACAGCAGCTCTGCTTTTTACTTACTTCTTCCCAACGGCCACGCCCCCCCCACCGAAAATCCATGTTAAGGTTTCATCTGGCTCTGAGGCATCCAACTTGTTCCAGTGCTTGAGTGTAACCAAAGGATAAATGTTCTAAGGGCAAAGAGTTAAGTATTGAAACTGAAAGCATGATATAAAATATTAAATATATTTTTTTATATTCTTGTGAGAATCTGTTTTATAAGTACTGAAGTCCTAGGCTTCACAGCTATGTATATGAATATCTTGGGAATAGCTCATTTTTTTCCTTATATATGACAATTTTTAAAAATGAGGCATAATTACTAGATAAATGGGGCCTTGAAAATTTAGGAAGACTTCATGCAAGTAAGCTCCTACCTGCTTTGATCTGCAAGAGGAGAAGAGGGTCTGTAATGTTAGAAGACTTCAGTAACAGCTTCTGCAGAAAACATTTTCAGAAGCCTGTGTTCATTGGGGTCACAAGATTTCAGTGGTATGCTTACCACAAAATCATTGTGTAATGTGTGTACTCACGGCTGCTATCCAAGCACTTATAAGAGACTCATGAACACTTACTTGCAAATACATCTGAAGAGTGATATGTTAAGTAATTACTTTGGCATGATGTCATCAAGGTTTACCTCACACTACAGTTTTACTGTCACTTTAAGCTGTCAGTGCCAAATAAAGTAGCAGTCCTGCCCCATATTTTGTCTGCTTGTCATCCCTTGTGCTAGGAAGAAAAAAGTAGCAGAAGTAATTTTGGATAAAACCTATTTTTATCTGAACGTGTAACACATGTAACATCAGCACAAGGACAGGGATGGCACAAGGAGCTGCAAACAAGGAAGGATTGTGTTGCTTCTTTTGGCAACAGTGCTGCTTTATCCTGTTCAAAATTACTTGAAATAACCATAATATCTATGTAATCTGAAATGAAAAATGTGGTTCATATGCATCGGCAATAGGGAAGCTAGCAGGAGGTGTTCACCCTTGCAAGTGGAGAGTGCTTTCTAGGCATTGTTAGTGCTTAGAAGTTTCATATGCAGGTGCCTGTTTCTTGGACTCTAGTTACAAGGATGTCCTGGGTTAAGGATCTATGTACTTAGAAGGTGGTTTCTTTCCTGAAAACCTAAATGAGCTCTTTTAACTACGAGAGCTCCCGTTTTTGAAGAGGTCCTTGATAATATGCTTGTGGTGTTCTTTCCGATTTGTCAGGTGTGCCATTTTTTTTTTTTCCATATCTCATTTTCACTGACTGATTTCCTCACAAGATACTTTCACCTGAAATGTTAGGCATTTGAAATGGCTACTTTAACTAATTGTACTGAAATGGAATCTTGGATTAAATTTGAATGGTAGTAATATCCCTACAGTTTTGTAAGGATATGAAATGTAGCCAAAGGTGTAAACAAAGTGTAACTCTTTTTTACTTCTAGTAGAGAGAATCCAAGTCAGTATAACAAGGAACACTTGCTTTCTGGATTCTGCTTTCAGAAAAACTTATCTTTAGGGGGAAGGGGTTGCATACAGAATAGGTGTAAAGTTTGTTCGCCAATGTTGCTTCCTATCAGGTTTAACAATGAAGAATGAAAGGCTATTAGGAGACTTGAAAGGGAGAAATTGAATGGGTCTGGATGTTAGAGGTAGGAAAGATATGGGAGAGCAAGATGAAAATTAAGGTAACTATCCAAACTCTGGGTGTTGCTGGTTAACTTTTCTTCAGCATCTGGGAAGGAATCTACTATTTGGTAATATTTATATGTCAGGAGCAGGTAAAGCAAGAAATCAAGTTGAAAATATCCTAGAGGAACTGAGGAAAGATTTTGTTTTGCAGGCAGACGAGCAGGTTTTGTGAATTATTTGTACTGGCTGGTGTTCAGCTCAGTCTATTTATCTCGTACTTGAAGTGGCTTCATATATTCTGCCCTGCTCAGTGCTTTAGTATGACTAGTTCATTTCTCTTCTCACTTTTTTACTAACACTTCAAAAGGCAGATCAAAAAAGAAACTAAAGTTTTCCTTAAAAACTAGCCATGCAGATCTATACTGCAAAAGCTGCTATGAGCAGTTCTTATCCATTGTTGCCAGAGAAAATTACTCAAATTTAAATGGAAGAGCAACTCTCTCTATTTTTTTTTTTGTGGGTTTCAGCAGAAAGCAGTTCTCACAGGTGCTAGCATGTTAATTACCTTTTACCATCTTGTTTATCACTTTTTAAAGTGATAGGAGAGAGTTTTTCTGGACTTCTCTTGGCATTGCTTTGAAATACTGTAAAATGTTTTACAATGGAACTGAGGGCTGGTTGCTGATTATTCTCAGTGTGAGGCACTTATGTCTCCTTCCTGGTAAACCCCTGCGAGGCAGGGCAGAACTCATTGACCTGAAAAGAGCTGGATTGCCAGCGGGGTGGCCTTGCCTCTCAGTAAGGTTGTTGGTTGGAAATTGCTTCTCCATGGTGCCTGTATGAATTATGTGGAAGCAGGCCCTGGCACTGCCTATATAAAGATTCATGATTGTGTGATGGGAGGCGGGACACCGGGAAGAAGAAAAGTGAAGAAAAAAGAAAAGGGCCTTATCTCTAGGGTACATGTGTTAACAGGGCTATGAGGCAGTACAAGGGAGAGTTCCATAAGGTTGCTATCAAGACATTCTTTATGAAATAAACCAAAGCTGAGATTTTTTTAAATTTTTGTATACTCAGGTTTGTTCTATATTTAGGCAATGAAAGTGTATTTTTGCAGCTGCTTGAAGACCTTGGCTTTCATCTTGTATCATAGTCTCTGAAGGACAATGTTGGTAAGTTCTGTAGTTTCTGGGTTTTGTTGTTTGTAAGTGTTTTTGGAAGAAAGAAGTGTGGATTATTGCTTAGTTTACTTATGCCTGATGAACATTGGGAATCACTTATGCAGAATGTTCAAAAGTTAGTGTCTTCTCTCGGGTAGAAATGTGTCTGTGACACAATGAGATGG